TAAAGTCCTATTTATCTAGTGAATAATAACCTCTGATAGATATCTCTGAATCCAGCAGATATCTCTGGAAAGAACAACGAATCTTTCCGTGGGAAAGTCACCTCTTTCAAGAGCTCTCATTCAAAGGTTTGCTTTCACAGCAATCCGTACAAATATCAGCTGTAAAATGACACACCTGGTATTTAACAATGGCTACATAATGTAACCAATGCAGCTTCTGTGACAGGTTATCTACCAGATTAAAAATGGGAACCAAATTTAATTTATCAAAATTCCCTGAAGGGTGAAAATTCCATTTACTGAACACCTCTAGTTATCATTTTGTAATGATGCGGTAGTAACTTGAAGACATGCAGTTAAATTTAACCAAAGCATTAAAAAAAGAAAGCCAATGAGTAGATCGGATGAGGAAAGTAGCTATTATTGCTTATTATTGTTTCACACTTGACTTAACTTGAAGCAGGATAGGGCAAAAGACAAAATATTCAATGCATTCCATGGCCACCTAAGCAGATAGTCAATCCCTTAATTTCAAGCATACTCTGGGGACCTATCTGATGTGCCAGGCAATGAGATTTTGGCAAATATTCGGTCTTCCAGCTGGAAGTCAGCACCTAACAACTGTGAGGCACAGATGAGCAGTAATCAACTGGGGTTGGGAGGAGTTCAGGGAACTGGACCAAAGCAGACTTCCTGTTAAAATGGATTTCCAGTAGCCAGCAGCCATTTGCTTTTTATTATTATTAGACACAGGTGCCACAATCCAGCACATTCTTTGGCATGTTTAAGCTCAATGAGGTGAGCAAACGTAAGCATACAATACTCTGAAGAACTGTGGTCACAGAGCACGTCCCAGAATTACTGAAATCTCATCGCTCGGTAGAACAATGACTCCTTTCCGACGTGTGGGAAGAAAGTAGGTCATTTAATAAAAGACAGCATTTTATCTCTTTTATCACTGCCTTCTTCATAACCAAAATGGGGTGAATAAACTGGGAGCTGATATCAAGCAGTGTGTGGGAATTTAATCAACAAAAAAGCACCAAAACACACTTAAGAAATTGAAAGGCTGAAGTTCCACCATCAAAAGTAGCTGCCTCCACATGTGTGTCATGAAGGAGGAACAGGGCATCCTACTGGCTATACACACAACAACAACAACAACAACAACAACACCACCACAGGTTGGGCATACCTCTGGACAGCTATACATTTGCATGGATGTTTTACCTGAGTATGCCAACATGTGAACACTGCTTATGCATAGGCTTCTTCAGAGCACATGTCTAGGCTAACCTGTAGATATGAAAGGGCACATAATGGGCTTTACCTCTTAGAACCAATTCCATATCCCATTTCCTAATAGCTGTGGTTCTGCTCCAACCAAATTAGAATGGTTTGATGTGATAAATACAAGACCATTTTAAACAGCCTTAAACCAAGTCTTTCTGCCTCGGGAGAAACTAATGTGCTTATTCGATTATTTTGTGTTATCACAACTGGTTGGTTTTTTTTTACACATAAGCTAAAAAAGAACCACAAACATTTTTGTGCTCTGGTCTTTGGCTCATGACTACCCGGCACCATTTTGATAAAATAATAATAATAATAATAATAATAATAATAATAATAATAATAATTTATTATTTACACCCCACCCATCTGGCTGAGTTTCCCCAGCCACTCTGGGCAGCTCCCAATCAAGTGTTAAAAGCAATACAGCATTAAATATTAAAAACTTCCCTAAACAGAAGATAGCTGCTTATTTAAAAAGAAGATAGCTGCTTATTTCCTTCACATCTGAAGGGAGGGTGTTCCACAGGGTGGGCGCCACTACCGAGAAGGCCCTCTGCCTGGTTCCCTGTAACCTCACTTGTGCAATGAGGAAACCGCCAGAAGGCCCTCAGAGCTGGATCTCAGTGTCCAGGCAGAACAATGGGGATGGAGACACTCCTTCAGGTATACAGGACCAAGGCCAATATCTGTACCATTCACCACTAAATTCCACCCACTGCATTTCTTATTAAAACTACTGCACAGATGCCGTATAAGAAATTATTGCTGAGTCTGACCACAGGCGAGGAAGCTTGCCTTGGCTCATATGCAGACTTTAATGTACAGGTGTCCCCCCACTCGTGGGGGTTACATTCCGGGGTCCTGTGTGTGTAAGCCAAATCACGTAGAATGGGGAGAACCTCTAACAAGGCTCTAAATGCCTATTTCCCCCTGCTCTCCAGCTCTCTTCCCACACAATTCTCTCTTCAACTGGAGGATGCATGGAAAAGTGGCAGCTCCTGCTGCACAACCGAGCGCGGCAGCTGTTATGTGGGGAGGCCGAGCAGCCCCACTGTGCCTCAGGTCACTTCGGGGCTTCCTCCAGCCTCACTGGAGGTGAGTGTCCCCATGAGCCACAAGGACTCTTCAGCCCCCTCCCACCATTTCCAGATACGATTTTATTTATTTATTTCTCGGTGCCGTGGGTGTAACAAGACCCGTTAAGTGGGAGGATGCCTGTATTACACTGATCTAAATACAAAGCTAGGTAGCAATTTTTAAAAACTAAGTAAGTGAGAATTCAGAGTCAGAAGAGTGACAGAGTTGCTATTTCAGATTTCACATTTGGCCATAACTTGCCCCCTAAATTGTGCTTTTTATTATTTTCTGTTCTGTTGTTATTTTCATGTTCAGGACATCGTGGGTGGGGATCAAAGGGATTTCTACTTTTAGAATGGATATATATATATAGCAGAAAGGACAAATCAACAGTTTGCAAGGGCTAAAAAAGTCACAGGCAGGTCATTTTAAGGCCTCCAAAGGATTTTAGAAAGTATGATACAAGGTCCTAACATCTATGACATTGCTTTTGCGGTCTGGAGCTTGACAAAACAGAGGGCAACATTCTTTTGCTTAATGTGACCGATATATAAAACAGATTTCCCAAATGAATTCTTCGGGAGAAGTGCTTGTTTAAAAGCAGGTTGGCTGTTCAATATGCTTAAACTATAGCACATGGGTAGGCAACCTAAGGCCCAGGGGCCGGATTCGGCCCAATCGCCTTCTCAATCCGGCCCACAGACAGTCCGGGAATCAACATGTTTTTACATGAGTAGAATGTGGCCTTTTATTTAAAATGCATCTCTGGGTTATTTGTGGGGCATAGGAATTCGTTCACTCCCCCCCCCCTCCAAAATATAGTCTGGCCCACCACATGGTCTGAGGGACAGTGGACCGGCCCCCTGCTGAAAAAGTTTGCTCATCCTTGCTATAGCAGGTAAGGAAAAACAAAGTGAGTAGATTCCTTTTTTTTTTTTTAGTCCAACATTAATTGCCTGAGAAGCACCTTGTAAGTGAAATTAGATCCCAGCCATTTACTGTGAATAAAAATGAATTGTAACCTAAGACCAACAAAGTAATTATGATAACATTATGGTTATAGTGTACACCAGCATTAAAATCACACAAAAGTAATGAAGCACTGTTATATCAGGTTCAGTGATTTTCTTTCAGCATGGATACATACTTTTGACATGAAATACAGACAGGTTGGGGTGGGTGGATGGGGAGATCAGAGAAAGAGAAGTTGTTTTTCTCGCATGCAAGATGGTTAGAGAAGCAACAGATACCCATAGATGAGAATGTGATAGACAGTTATTTGCAAAGCTGCAAGTGTAGCTAATCCTTCTTCAAAAGAAAATGTCAGATGAACTGTTTGTTAGCTGCCATTGCCTCGTACAATATTTAAGGTGCGGATCACGAATGTGGCTTGTTTAGAAAATAATTAATTACTTTATTTATTTATTTTTTAAAATAAACAAGAGCTTGCTTTGATATTGTGAAAAGTTTAATGAAGTGAAATAATGGTTTTTAAAAAAATCACAGTTGGAAGGAACCAAAAGGAAATAAAAATCCACAGTAGGTGAAGGGAATAATAATAATAATAATAATAATAAAAATAAAAAAAAATTATACCCCGCCCATCTGGCTAAGTTTCCCTAGCCACTCTGGGTGGCTTCCAGCAAAATATTAAAATAAAATAATTCATCAAATATTAAAAACTTCCCTAAACAGGGCTGCCTTCAGATGTCCTCTAAAAGTCAGATAGTTGTTTATTTCTTTGACATCTGATGGGAGGGCGTTCCACAGGGCAGGTGCCACTACTGACAAGGCCCTCTTCCTGGTTCTCTGTAACTTTGCTTCTCTCAGTGAGGGAATCGCCAAAGGCCCTCAGCGCTGGAGCTCAGTGTCCGGGCAAAACGATGCGGGTGGGAAGCCATTACCCATGCATTAGTGACTAGTACTAGTCCTATACAAATTGGCCCAAACTGTGCCAACCACAGTATGCTACAAGGAAAGAGAAGGTACCTGGAAAAGGTGTGCATTGACTGAGATAAATGAACTAAGCTGCGTGGTTCAAGAAGGGAAGATTTGCCTTGAGGACTAAGCAATGGGCAGAAATTTATTCCAGGCAATAACTATGGTAAGTCAGAAACCCAGCATGGTGCAGCAATAAAACTGCTAACACATATACAAAGCTAAGCAGGGTCTGGTATGGTTTCAAATTGGATGGGGGACCGCATGTTGAGATTCCTGCTAGATGACCCTCAAGGTCCATTCCAACTCTACAGTTCTATGAGTCTATGAAAGCTGTGCAACCCAGCCTCCTGTTTCTGTAAAAGGGCCTCATGTTCTAGAAGAAACAATGAGCAAATCTAAATGGAAAGAAATAGTTCGTAACTAGAGAAGTATGGAAGAGATATAGCATAGCTGATAATTTGGGTGCTTTTCATGGAATCATAGAATTGTAGAGTTGGAAGGGACCACAAGTGTCATCTAGTCCAGGCATGACCAAACTTGGCCCTCCAGCTGTTTGGGGACTACAATTTCCATCATCCCTGACCACTGGTCCTGTTAGCTAGGGATGATGGGAGTTGTAGTCCCCAAACAGCTGGAGGGCCAAGTTTGGCCATACCTGATCTAGTCCCTGCAATGCAGGAAGCTTCTGCCCAACAAGAGACTCGAATGCACAATCCTGAGATTAAGAGTCTCATGTTCTCCAAACTGAGCTATCCCAGGCTTTTGATTTAATGCTTCTGAACAAATCTCTGTAAGCTACTTCACCATGTTGGAGTCCCCACATTATTGTGTCAATATGATGCTGAACTTGTGGCTGGAGAGTTCTCACATGGAGGCACTTGGGGGATCTAGACATAAGTGCCATCATTTTCAGGATTATGACAGCCACAGACTACTTTGAGGAGTTGATTTTATCTTATTTCTCCTACTGGGTTCAGTTTTCATTATTTAAATTGTTTACAATTTTAGCTGACTTTCATTTATTTATCTGACAAGATTTATATACCGCTTGAGCGACAAAAATCATCTAAGCTGTTTACATATAACATTCATTTAAAAATGCCAATGAAATAAAATGTTAAAAACAAAGTGACATAAGATTTATCAAAATATAAATATAATTAGCAGTTTTAAAGCAAATATACATGATAAGATCAGGGACGCGGGTGGCGCTGTGGGTTAAACCACAGAGCCTAGGAGTTGCCGATCAGAAGGTCCGCGGTTCGAATCCCCGCGATGGGGTGAGCTCCCGTTGCTCGGTCCCTGCTCCTGCCAACCCAGCAGTTCAAAAGCACGTCAAAGTGCAAGTAGATAAATAGGTACCGCTCCGGCGGAAAAGTAAATGGCATTTCCGTGCACTGCTCTGGTTTCAGTGTTCTGTTGTGGCAGAAACGGCTTAGTCATGCTGGCCACATGACCCGGAAGCTATACGCTGGCTCCCTCGGCCCATAAAGCGAGATGAGCGCAGCAATCCCAGAGTTGGTCCCGATTGGACCTAATGGTCAGGGGTCCCTTTACCTTTACCTTACATGATAAGATTACATCTCTGGGTAGACCTGTGTATGCCACTTAAGACAGTCACGCCTTTCTCCAAAGCATCCTGAGAACTATAGTTTGTTAAGGGTGCTGAGAATTGTTAGGAGACTCCTACTGCCCTCACAACAGAGTTCTCGTAGAAGAAAGATTGTAAAATCACCCTGAGATCTGGAGCTCTGTGAGGGGAATACGTCTCCTAACACCCCTCCTCAGAGTCTGCACCCTTACTAAACTACAGTTCCCAAGATACTTTGGTGAAAACCATGACTGTTTATAGTGGTATGAGGCCTTAGATGAGGCTAGCTGAGCTTGTAAAACAAGATGAACTGCTAGCAACTCTCCTTTGGATGATCTCCCTGATTGAGCTGGAGTAGACAGGACTCAGGTGGTCTTTAAGGTGTCCCAGAAACAAGCAGTTCTATATTTGCATCGTATTATCTCACTGAGGCAAGTAACTAAACAAGTGCTACTTCATTTCCATCACAAATGACAGCTCCCCATGGGTGCCTGGGGTTTTTCGCTCTCTGTGGCACAACACCATCAGCTCGGTACCACAACTTTGTGTAGTGTGCGGGCACACGATGCAAATGAACTGAAAATGAGCCAGAAACTCGTAAGGATTTCCGTTCCACAACCAGAGTAATAAAAGAATGAGACTTGCACATTTTTATCATGCACAGATGCTAATAGTTCAGACTGAGCAAACATTATTAATCAACACAGCCCCATATAGCTGTCTCTTGAGTGGCAAGTCTATGAAATCGAAAATACCGATTCAATATTTCAGTAAACAGATGTAGGAGACGGATCTGCACTACTGAAGTCAGCGCTCTCTCTTTTTTTCTTCCTCTGCAACCATTCAGGACTTTTATTGCTTTTAGCTAAGCTCGGTGCTGAGCAGAATTCAACTATACAACACCCTCATTGTACTTGAATTACAATATGCAAATACCAATAAAATCACCACAAATTGGCAAACAATTAATGAGATTCATTGTAGGGACATTTCATCACAGACTGCTATTTTCCTGCCAACAGAGACATGATGTATTTAATTCTAAATGACACCACCTGCTCCCACCTCTGAGTGAAATGAAAAAGCTGCCATAGGGCATGTTGGGAATTAACTTCAATGCTTCTTTTTAATCAGGCATTCCACCATAACGCTAAAATGACAACCCTATCCATGGCACAGGATGGGAAAGCACATCGTTAGGCGAGAGTGCCCTTAGTTTAGTGTTGCCTCCTCACTGCTATCATTTGCTGCATTAAATATAGGACTCTTCTCCCACCTTACCCCCTGCCCAATCACTTTTTCATTGGCTGCTGTGTGATATGGGGTGCCAGCTGCATGGCACCGAGTCGCCACACAGTGACCAGCATCGCCTTCTAAAGAAGACCTCAAAGCGCAGCACACATTTTAAATACTGACCTGCGAGCTTCTCCTCGCTTTATTTACACACATAGTTGTGTGTCAAGGCCCCGGCACCTCCTCCTTTGGTGAAATAAAACACGTGGACACCGGTATTGTAGGTTAATGGGCGAAAAAAAGGCCACAACTTTTACTGGTTACACAATGTGAGTGGTGTTGGCTTTTGGCATTGGACCCAAACCGACTATATTTAACTCCTGCCCGCCATGCAGGAAGCCTCACAAGGGTGAACCACCTGTAGGGGGAGCCCTGCTGATGTATATCAACTCAGAGCTCCCACAGGGTCACCAAAAAGTCGTGCCATGGCCCTAGCCTCCACCCGGGCTTTGGGCAGGAACCACGACCCCCGGATTCCTTTAACGGAATACCATTAAAGGGGAGGGGTAGGTGATGGCTACAACCTCCGCTCCCATAAACCAAGCTTTTCCAATGCCTAACCACCAAACCTTACAAAGTTGTGACGATTTGCTATGAGGTAGGTGAAAACCAAGTGGCTGGTGCCAGTCTGCGAAGTGGAAAAATTTCTACCAGGCCCCTTCAACAGGCGACCAACCGAAGTCCATAGCAAGGTCAAGGTGAAGAATGCCAGGGGGGGGGAAAGGGTGGGAGAGCAGGAGATCCATGGAAGCCGGGAGCAGAGAGGGAGATCTCCTGAACGTGTGGCCACTTAAATGGGGCAAGCCACGCCCCCAGCCTGCCGTATTGGCCGGCTGCAGCCGTGACACGTGCCAGGACTCCCTGTGACGCGGGCACCTAAACACACACACCCCTCTGAAGGTGGGAAGCGCGAGGCCTGTGCACAACCCCACCCCTCTCTGAAGAGAAGCGGCTTTGTGTGGGGCCCAGCTTCTGTGGAATTACAAAGGATGTGTCAGGTTTCCCAGGTGAGGGGATGAGAGAAAATGACATTCTGGGACTGTTTATTAATATGGGTTTGCTGGCAAGAAGTCTGTGTGTGAGAGAGCAGGAGGCTGGAAATAAGCATTTTGCTTTACTCTTGGACCTAACCTGTCAGTCTGAGCTTTGGTTCTGTCACTCTGAACAGAGACTCCTTTGCTTTTGATAATTTGTGACAAGCAACACATTAAAAGACCATCATATGGAGTAGATGATTTGAGGAGTGTGTGTGCGTGTGGAGGGGCCCAACCCCCTCAAATATTTTATTGGGACCCCTCGGCCACTAGGAGTAGGATCCAATGATCCACACAAACTCAGCCAAAATAAATTTTGCTGGCAACACATCCTATGCATTCTCTTTAAGTGATGCACAGTTCAGTTTTGGAAGTAGGACCCATTGACATTAATGGGGCTTAATTCTAAGTAACTATCACAAGACTGCACTGTTAGTCTTCTGGTTTTCCCTAGGTGCTTACTCATGTACACAGCATGATGCATCATGCAAATAAGAATCTCTTTGTGTAGTGATCATCAAGCTTTGGAAACATTTGCAAATGTTTTGAAATGTGTGGCCTCCAGAACAACACATCCCAGCAGTGCAGCTTTGAGATTCATATCATTTGATGGCATGGAATTAATCTGTGCAATGTGATGGTGTAGGAAGTAGATAGAAAATAAAAACAATCTTGGGCACAAGCAGTTTTCATCAGACGGAGAAAAGAGCACCAAATAATATTTTTCTGTTCAAGCCTCCGGCAGTATGGCAATTGAAGACTTTTTTTGCGGTGGGGGGATAAGATTTAGTTTGTAAAATTGAGTCAATAGGGAATATTCTAGAAACATCTGGGGTTTTACAAGCAATATGGGGAATGTCAAAACTGTGGCTAAGTATACAATATATCTGGGCTATAAAAACTGACATCTGACAAGATCCATGAAGCCACCAGGGAGAATTAATTTTTTTAAACACTGGTCTTAATGGACGACTCTGGGGTTGCGGCGCTCATCTCGATTTATTGGCCGAGGGAGCAGGTGTACAGCTTCCAGGTCATGTGGCCAGAATGACTAAGCAACTTCTGACACAACCAGAGCAGCGCACAGAAATGCCATTTACCTTCCCGCTGGAACGGTACCTATTTATCTACTTGCACTTTGACGTGCTTTCGAACTGCTAGGTTGGCAGGAGCAGGGACCAAGCAACGGGAGCTCACCCCGTCGTGGGGATTCGAACCACCGACCTTCCGATCGGCAAGTCCTAGACTCAGTGGTTTAGACCACAGCGCCACCCGTGTCCCTTGTATTAGAGAGATACCCACATCTGAATCATTATTTTTGGGAATAACATTTGAGGACCTAAATTAAAGAAGCTAATTCTCAAATTGTAAAGAAGTCTCCAGGGCCAGATCATGTTCATCTGAGGATCCTTAAAGAATTTAGATGTGGAATTGCTTTTTTAAAAAACACAAATATGCAACTTATTATTAAAATCTGTCTCTTTACCAAAATACTCAAAAAAAAAAAAGGAACCAACAAAACACCAGTTTATAAAAGGTATCCACTGTGGACATCAGAAGTTACAGGTCTTCAACCTAATCTCTGTCCTAGATAAATTAGTAGAAAGCCCCACTGAAGGTGGAATTATTAAATACACTGAAGAACAAGCCTCGCTGAAGATGAACCAGCATGGGTACTGCAAATAAAGTTTTCTTCAGAGTGTCAACAAGCATGTAGATAGATATCCAGTAGTAGATATTACCTCATTTGAGAAGAAAGCTGGGATTCAACAATAATGGCAAATAAATAAAATATTCTATATTCCAGCATTGAAAAAGTCCAATGATCAAATAGGTTGCCAA